GCCCGCTGGCTGCCGGCCTCCGCGCTCCGGGGGCTTCCTCCAGGGACAAACCAGACCTGCAAACTTCTCCGAGCAAGTTCACAGAGCGGTTTTGAAGCCACCCCCCCCTTTAATATACGTAAACCCAAACATGTTTCTAAATAGATAATGTATCCCCACTTACGCTACTCCCACAACCACAACTCTGAAGTCACTCAAGTAAAACAGTCATTGTAAAGGCCAGTCGATGTACGTGAAAGAGCCTATTTTAACTTAGCTGCAATCACTGTTTTCTAAAATACTCTGGAATATCTTTGGCACTGTCCTGTGCTGACTTTGTAGCTCCTCAGTAAAACCGTGCAAGAGTTAGCTTCACCCTGCTTGCTACTTTTCTTCTTCTCCTATGAAACAGTTATTTCTGACAAATCTAAAATACTCTCTTTTGCAAATTTGTGTTTTCTGCCGCCTCTTACTCCTCGCCAGGGCGGGCGGCTGCCTGCATTGCGATGGAGCCTGCCAGGAGGGGAAATTCTGCAGCATGCAAAACGTGACTTTGTGTGTTGTGCCACCAGTGTTGTGTGTCGGGCCACTGGCTTTTGATTCCCCATCACTTGTTGCGTACACCTGCCTCCAGTTATGCACCTTTCTCACATTTATTTCACAGGGGTCTCATAACAGTTCATCTTTTGGATACCAGTAATCTTCTGTAATCTTCTGCTCAGGGTGACTGTTGGCAAAAGTGTTCACCGATTGGAGAGAATCTGGAGGAGAACAGCCAGGGTGGGGTTTGGAAGTCGTGGCCCAAGAAGAAAAGGTAGGGTGGGATAGCTATGGTGGAGGGGAATGAGCATTATAGCAGCCTTCAGGTACGTAAAAGGCTGCTCGCAAAAATGAAGGGTACACTCTGTTCTCCTTGGCCGCATTGGACAGGTGTAGAAGCAGTGGGGTTGAATGACAGGAAGGACATACAGGGTAGCCATTAGGAAGGGTTTGGTGAAGCAGTGGAGGAGGTCATCTGGGACGTTGGTCTCTGTCACTGGTCATCAAATTACTGAGTGGACAAGGACCTGTCGGCAATAGCGGAGATATGATGCTCCCTTTCCTGAGGCAGGCTGGAAGGGTTAGATGACCTCCTGAGACCCTTTCCAGCTCTTTAATTTTGTATTTCAAGTGTGTCATAAAGAAAAATAATTACTTATTTGCATAGACATCCTACTTTTTATGGTTTAAAACAATCAAATTGAAAGATAACTTAAGTGAATAATCACAAAAATGTGAATTAATTTTCCAACAAAACTATCAGCAACTGCTGTTATGAAGCCAACTTTCAGGTATAGCCCATTTTTAGTCCAGGATTTCCATTAAGGAGTGCAGTCCCTCTGATGGATAGCACTTAAGCCAGCACTTAATTAAAAGTAATAATTAAAAAAATCATTAAGACCATCAGTAAGACCAATTCATTAAGACCATCAATGAGAAGTAAGCACCTCAGAACAGCAAGATGCCTTACTGAATGTAATAGACATATAATTGTTCGGTCATAAAACTACTCACTCAGCCTCTTTTGATTCCTCTTTCGAGTAGTCATTCCTTCTGTCAGCTGGAAAGGCCTTTTCAGGCATATTTTCTCTGTTAGAAGGGAGATCTGAAAACACTCCCCTCCCATTACCATGATTCAAAGGACAGATACTTCCCCCATTAGTCCAGATCCACTGGTGTTTCTAAGAACCTGAATAAAAGTTTTGATTTTGTCTAGTCAAATTGAGTATCTAATTCACAGCATCATTCAAACTGTAGATCACTTGTTCTGAGAATACTCTGATGTATCATTTTCAGCACATGTATAAGACTTTGAGAGGCCAGATTCAGTTTTCTGTTTGCCTGTGTCCTTTATGGAATAACGACTGTATACAGGTATATTTATGTCACTTCAAAGTTAATTTTTTGTCTGATTCTCAAGTGGTCGAACTGGAGTGTTTTCTTCAAAGCGCTAGAGGAAAGCCGTATGTTAAGGTTACACTCTCTGTTAGTTTTGTGCACTTCATATGCATTCTGCACGCTCATTTTTCACTGCAGGAAAGCGACATCACCAACAAACTTCCATAGCATCCATAACTTCCATAATGTTAATTCACATCACCACAATTAGGCAGGAGATCTGGGCATGATACAGTATCTTACTTCTGAGTTCTGTCTCTCTGCTCGTTGTAAATTTAGATTTTCATTAAAAAAAGAACTTTCAGAAAACTGTTCAGAAAATTATTTTCAAATGTACCAATAAAATAAAGCTCGAACACTTCAAGGAAATGAGAAATATCTTTTATGCGTAGAAAGGCTCAAAAATAGAGGATTTATTTTTCTACCACTGGAGACACAAGAAACAGGGACTACTGGCACATTTTTCATTTTCTGGGAAACTCTTAAAGGATCAGCTATTCGTTGTTCTTGCTCATGTGTATATGAGAAACCGAAGCATCAGCTTTCATAATTTTATCATTCCCTTGGTAAATCCTCTCAGGCAACCATATTCTTATGCCACTGAGCAGTGGCAAAAACTAATATAACAGTGCAAAGGGTCATTTGGTCTTACTCACTCTGCCAGTGAAGTGCTGCTGCTGAAGTGAACCACGGACATTTCCAAGGTGGTTTGGCACATGGAATTTGTAATGTTGGATAGAACCACGTCTGGTGGTTCAGACTGAAGGGGTTCAGGGGTTATACAGTACCGCTTTGTCGTGTCAGGAATAGCTGTAACAACTGAATGGTAGTGACATCTGTCTGAACTACTGTCTTTACCAATGCTCCAGCTGATATTTCCCTGGTATGATACCACTGACTGAAAAAACAGATTTCATTATTTCAAGAGACAGTACAGAAAAATTTTTGCTGGAATGCTGAAATATGAGTTGCAACTCAGTATGTCTGTTGTGGGAGTTGAAAAATTTGCTTCAGCAGAAAGCCAGCTGTTACAAAAACCTCTTCTATAATATATTTTCCTGATCTTCTGTACTCCTCATGTTGAAAGCTATGATTTTTTATGGCAATTGTGTAGTCACTTTTTCCAGCTGGACTATTGTGACATACAGGAAAACGCCAGGATGTGCAGGTCCCAAAATTTGTCCTTATCTTTTCAAATAGCCTTGGTTCTCTTCTCACAGGAGTAGTGCTTTACAATCAACTGATTATAAGTTACTGGGATTTCTGACACATTATATTTCCAAATTTTTGAAGTGTTTTGATCTCATGTATTAGTCTGTATTTGGAACATAAAATTGGAGTGGCTATCCTGGACCTGATGTGGTGGAATAGCGGGAAAAGGTTAGGAAAATAGTATGAAAGGTAGGACATATCTAGGGAAAACTTTCTCCAGGAACATCTTTATAGTTTCCAGCAGCACAGGAACTTGATGAGCCAGAGGTTGCATGGAGCCTAATGTGTTTAATAACCTTTCATGATGCTGCAAATTCATTTTTTAACTCATTTCTGTTTCGATGTGAATAACACTTTGTACAAGGTTCTCCACAATTTAACTGTGCACTGGGTGAAAGATACCGTACAGTTCTGTTAAACCTTCCTTCATTCTTGTGCTGTGACTGCTGAATAATGGGGTTCTGCTCGTGTTGCCAGAACCATTCATGATTTTGCTGACATCTGCCATACAGTAGTTTCTATGGAAGTGGTCGGTTTCAATAATATATCTTTAAGTTTTTTATATGCATCCAAGCTTTGTGAGTAATACATCATATCAAGGGTTAAAATTAATGGATTTTGGCAGTTCCAGTATTTCAACATTTGTCTGTTGCAAATTTTGGACCCAGTGCAAGCCATTGAGCCCTGAGCTCCGTTGCATTCAACACCAGACATAATCTGTATCATAAACTCAGTTCCCTTGTTATAGATCAAGAGCCACTTCCTTAAAATAACAGTGGTACTGCCTAGATCCTCTGCTGAGTCTTCCCCTTTGGTTAGTGTTAAGCAGTGCTCTTCGGGAGCAGTTGTGGTTCCTTTACAATCTAGTTATCTGAAGCCTGTGTTTCTTTCATATAGTCTGGGAGCTGCTGT